TGCAATACAGAAGGCAGTCATGGTTTTGAAATCCATACTGTTATAGCATAATTTAAATGGTGTATTTATCAGTTTTAAATGTCATTTTACTTTTCCAGTCTTTTGTATATGGGCACAATACTTTTTGTAAATTTTTTTTTATTTAGTTGTCTTTCTGTCTTTTGTTTTCTTTCTGATATTTGAAGATTTGAGCTCTGTGAATTTTCATGGTACTCTTCTGATCATGTCTTCGTAGTGGTAAAAGTCTGTATTTTTGTATTTAGGGAAAATGGTAATTTTCTAACACTTATCTTGATCAATATAGTACGGAATCATTTGTGAAGGACTTCCTGTTTAATAAATGGACATATTAAAGTACTAAAACATTGTCTTCATCTGTAAAGGCAACATATAAACTCAATATACCAAGTATTGTGGTTGATTAGTTGATAATCCAGTAAGTGCTAAATGCACTTCCTATGCAAGACATTGGCATAGGGGTCGAACGTCAAACCAGCCAACCCTGTCGGAGTTTTTTGTGACTATATCTCTGACAAAACAGACTTCATAGATGCAGGAGTTAATGAAAAACCATGTCTAAGCAGTCCTTGCTGAGAGGTTATATGTAGCAGAAAGCACATGGAACCACTTTATTGCTAAAGTGGATGTGGTGGAATTGCTCTTGTGGTGGTTTCTCCATCTGGTACACTGTAATGGGCCGAAACGCTATATCGTGTGGTTTGCAGCATCACATTCTGGATTTTAAAATACGCTTTTGTTTTCGGGGTAGCATTGTTTTACCTTCTGACATAGAAGTTTTACGAAACATTCAGAGTACTGTGACTTCTTCCAGTAAACGAGGAATCTGTGCTGCAGTGCCGTTTTTTTTTGATGCAGTCTTGTTTACTTAGAAAACCAAGAGATCGTGTCTCCATCCTGACTTTTAAACCAATACTCCGTACCAAAAGGTGTCTCAAGTACAAGATTCATGTTCTCAGTGCTTATCTAAATTTCTTCTGCTTCCATGATAAGTTCTCTCTCTCTCCATGCTCAGAAAAGAATTAAAGGAGGGCTAAGTAGAGCTTCTTCATGCATATGTTAAAATATAAGGTGATAGGTATCTTGCATTTGCTCTTTGGGGCAGTTTGTATCCTGGTCTTTGGAATGAAGGCACTTCATTTTATTATTTTTGATCTCTTACGAGGCTGGTTACAAGCTGCCTGCTATGAAGTGTTTAGCTCAGCCTAGTAGCAACATGTATGTTTTGTCATTTATTTATGCATTTTAGAAGTACAGATGTCAGAAAAGTGCACTGTTGGTATTTGGTTACAAGTACTTGGTCACTTAATGATAAAGGCTGATGGTCTCCTAGGAGGGGAAGATGCAGCTATAAAATTTAGACTTAGAAATTTGCACAATGAACACTTACCAGAAGCGTAATGAATGAAAAACATCTGCTGTTATGCAGAGCATTAAATTATCTTCTGCTTTCCAACCCATTAAGCTGGTGGAAGCATTCTTCTCAAATACCACATAGGCTGAGATACACCACTTTTTACTTAGTATCTTGGAAATTAGTCAGTTGAAAATTTAAGACTTAGAGAACTTTGTACAATATCAGGTGAAAAGCAGAATTAAGTGGTGCAATAGACGCAGTGTTAAAAGGGCAGTTGAGCCTTTCATTTCAGGGAGAATCTAAAAAGGCTACTTGGAAAGATGTTTTGAATTCCTTAACATCACCTGTCCAAAATCATCATGCAAGACTGAACAAATCTTCTGAGATAAGTATAAAAGCTTTCTGATAGGAGAAGGTGGGAGAGAGACCTTCAAACAGTGTCAGAGCTGTATGCCGTCGTTCATCTGTGGTGCCAGCTGATTGTTTTTCCTTCCTGTTAGTGGCTGTGATTCACAGTGTTGATATCATAAGACTTCTTGCATTGTATCTACATAGATTTGTTCCGCACTTGTTATTGGAAGCTCTCATTGCTCCCGAGGTTTGTCTACTGCTGAGTGCTGTTCAACAAGCACAGGGATTCAAAATGGGAGTAGTTGCACTCTAGTTGTAATGAAGGCATATATTAGTCTGTACGGGTTTTGGAAACGGCTCCTGTCTGGAACAAGAACATATTGTGATGGAAAACAAATGTTTGATTACAACCCTGCTGGTACACCGAAATAAGAACTTCAATAAGGCCTCCATGCTGCAGGGATGACATTACGCTTGTGTTGTGAATCCCAAATTGCTGAGAAACCAGTGCCCCCACTGTTTTGATCTTGTCAGTTGAGGAAAAACAAGCAAACAAACAAAAAAGCCAAAAAAACAAGCAGACTTTTCCTCTGCCTTACACCAGACCCTGAGCGTAGTGCAATATTGCTAGCAGAAGATGATCAAAAGACTGAGTCAGCCCCACCTCTCCCTCCAAATCAGAATTGGCTTTAAAATATTTAATTGAATTCTCTTTTTTTGAAATGATATGAATAAAATACAGAAGTGTATTCTATTTCAATCATGGGAACAGACCTTTTTAAATAAAAGGCTGGAATCTTGTACAAGTGCTTGACCCTGGGAGCAAACTGCTTAGAAATAAATGAAATCATCAAACACTTGAATGCCAATAATGAAATTCTCTGGACAGGCAATTCATTACATGCCTGCTGAAGTAGTCCTGAAGCAACTAATGAGCAATTTTGTTTGCCTCTTCTGTTGATTTTAGGAGTATTCTAATGTGAGAAAATTACTAGAAAAGCTTAGCAGATTTCTGGTTATAACATGTCTGTGAAGGGTAAACCCAAAGGAGATTGTGGTTTACAGTGCTATTAGTTGCCCAGTAAGAGCACTGTATCTCCGCTGTCCGCTGAATATGCTACAACTAACTCTTGGTTAAATTCTTTCATGCTGTGTGCTGACGATGAAGTGTCTCCTTGCAAGAGGTGTAAGTGTGAATGATGGATCTCCAGTGCTGGCTCTGTGCTGTTGTCGCCTCCCCGGCCTGTGGCATCCTTCCTGGAGGAGTTTCTTGAAACACCGTTGCTCTCACTGGTCAGAAGCAAGGCAGTAAAACCACGTCTTAAAATAAGTAGACAGCCAACACTTGTATTACAAGAAGTTTAATCCAGCATGGTTTCTAAATATTAACCATGTACTAGTTTCCAGCTGTAACATGCAGTACATTTTTTAATTAAAAAATAAAAAAGGAATACAAAACAATTGAATATAAAAATGAGCCCAGGTCCCCTGACGTCACAGTGTGTGCCAGTAAAACATGACAATAGAAAAGAAAGAAACATGGAATTTCATACTGAAAAAGGTCCAAAGATCTTTTTCTCAGAAAAGCAAAGATTATTTGTCACACTTGGAAGCAACCATTTGTTTTGCTTTTATTCAGTGGTCTTGGAAACAGGAAACGTAGGAGCTGCCTGTTAGACAACTCCAAATCTGGCCAGCACCTTCCCAAAGCACCTGCTCGCTGTAAGGTACCGTGTTTCTGCCTGTCAGCAGCCAGCTGCTAGCAGGGAATTGGAACCCAAGCAGTAATTTTGTTCCAAAGGAAATCTGCCTTTATTGTTTTATCCCTGTTTCTAATTTTCTCTATTAGTACCATCTGCTCTCATTTTAATTACTTTTTGTTAAGGCCACCTGCTCTGGTACTATATTAATTTTTTAAAAAATGTATACAGGTTTCTTTGAAATAGACCTATCTGGTGGCGTATATAAAGAACATGCCATGCTTTTTGCAGCAGTACGCATTTGTAGGTGGACACATACTTGAAGGTCGGTTGTGCTACACATGAAGACACCTTCTTGTAAATTCAAGTGGCTTTTCCCCCACAATACCAGACCACAAGATAAATCATGTCCTTCCAGGGGTGGGGGGGACCCAAAACAAAAACCACACACACCAAAAAAAGGTGTCTGTGAAAATTAATTTCATTGCAGACGTTCTTTAGCTTGACAGTTGTTTCTTTTCCTTTTCACAGTGGGAAGGATGTATTGCCCTCCTGGGGCCCAGGTATCCTGAGTTTTACAGAAACAGCTGTCTGTTTCGCGAGCCCAGCAGACTAAGTCCAGCATTGCTCCTTACGGGAGGACCAGTGTTGGCAACATAGAGCATGAGATCAGACAGTGGTATCTTGCACAAAGGTGCAAGAGGTATTGTTTGCAGGCCTCGATAGACACATAGTGTTGGAATGTATTTGGCAAACCTTCCTTACATGTATGTGCAAACACATACAAGGGCTTCCATGCAAATGGTAGGAAGGAGCTGGTAAGATGATGCCTCATCTGTTCTTCGTCATATCTGTGGTGAAACTGCAGAAGATGGGATGTGACCCCATCCAAGCAGCTTAAAAAAATGATACTGAATATTTGATGAACCAGCTACCCTCTGGCACAGTTATACTTTGAGGATTGTTCTTGCTGCAGATTTCCAGTTGTGACTTTTTCTTGTTGTAGAGAGGCAGTAGATGTAAATGTATTTAAACCAACGTGTTAACTATAATCTATGCCTTCAGTGCTTGAGATAGTGGAATATTCAGACTTCAGATAAAGAAATATTGTTAGTTATTCCAGAAAAATACAAATAAAGTAGAGGCACTCTGAGCCTCTCTTCTTTGGCAGAGCAAGAAGTATAAAAGCTATAAGTGTTAAAAATTTGGAATTAAGAAAGCATATTAAAAGCTCCACTTACACATTTAAAATATTATGTTTCCATTTACTCAGTATGTTGTAGTGCTGAGTAAGGAGGGGCAATGGAGAATTGAGATGTGCTGTTTGGATACAGATGTCTGTGGTAGGTTGAACTACTGTAAAATCTGTAGTTCTGAAGGAGTGTCTGATGGCATTGGGAATAGTCTCCTTTTCCACATCGCTGCCCTGCCTGTGGTTTGGTGATTCCATAAACAGTGAGGTGGAAAGAGGATACCACAGCTGAAATAAGGGCGATATTTCAATTGGCAGTGCATTCAGCAAAGAGGAAAGTGCTCGATCATCTTCCCTTCACGCTTGGATGTTGTTTAGTTCTTCAATCTGAGTCGGAATCGGAGTCCTCATCTGAAATTTAAAAAAAGAGACAACAGTGAAAATGAAAACCGGAAATTTCCATGTCAGCTTTAGCTCTTGCTGGGAGAGACAACGCTGCTCTTCAGCAGATGTCTGCTTCAAGGGATGTGGCAAATTTAGGAAATGGCTTGTAAAATGACAGTTCTGACATGATGGAGCTTTAAATGGTGTTTCAAAGGACTTTAGAAAGGCTGCTGAGAGGCACTTAGACCACTGCAATGTAGACAACAGTTCAAATGAAAGAAGTTGCAGAGATGTTGCTGTTAGCATGACCACCAAGAGGAAGTCTGCTGACGACATGCTTCCTGTACTAGAATATTGCTGTTTGCTGTGGGTCACAGTTACGCACTGCCAGTTAAACGTATCTGAAAAACAGAAGATTTAAGACATTAAGAAATCCCAATGGACTTGTAGAGGTACATCTTGCCCAAGCTTGCAAGAAAGCAAGGGATTTCTGGCCTTGGCAGTTGAGAGCTCTAGCGTGAACGTGAGTTTGGTGTTGAAGGAACAGTGCTGCAGGGCAGAGCCCTTCTCACATGGTCAAATCATCAACATAAAGCTGCGTGACTTGTGTATTTGCAAGTTTATACGTTTCTTTCCTCCATCTCCAGGGAAACTTTAGCCTAATTTCTTACTCTTGTCACTTGATCATCTTGAGGTCAGTTCAGTTTGTGGAGAAAAACAGTTTTTATTCAGTTTGTTTTCTGTATCTGTTCCTTTAATTCTTTTTTTTCTTTTCTTTGTCTCTCTTTTTGGCCTAAAGCTTGCAAAATGTTTAATGGTCTACTAAAATACCTAGAAAAGACTGTGAGCATTACTATCTACCTTCTAGGATTCTGCACGTCTTGGGTGTGTGTTTTTGAGCATTTTTGTGGGTTTTGGTTTTGTGAGGGGTAGTTTGGGAGTGGGTTTGTTTTAAAGTGTGGAGCAGTCTTTTTAATCTGTGTGTGCAATGAGTGGTATCACAGGGGCATGATGCCTCATTTGGGCTCCTGAGTACTGCAAAATAGCTGCCTGTGTCCTGACTTGACTTGAAATGGGTTTGAACTCCCAACAGCAGGACCTTCTAAGTGGATCTGTCTGATTTAAGGTAGACTGTACCTCGTATATTAGAAAGAAATGTGATAACAATCTTGTTAATTTTATGCTGTGTGGCCCTTGGATTTCAAGGCCATTTGCCCCCAGATGGTCAGAGCTTGACACTGAATAAGAGGTAATCGTGATAAAGAGATGATAAAGACAAAAGCACAACTGGACATAAGAGACTGTGGACTAATGGATGTTATGTTATTAAGTTAACAAGAAAAAAGCAGATGTTTATTTTTAAAGTTAAGACATCTTGATGGGAGGAAAAAAGTCGGTGCTGCACAATATTGGATTTGGGGCCTTTCAGAGTTAGACAGCACAAAACTCTGAGAAACTTCACATTCCTAGCTTTCTAGTTACCTTTATAAATCACTGAAATTCCAATTGTTGTATTTTAAGACTAAATAGCTTCATAATTCAGCATAATTGTGGCACACAAAACCAAGGTAGCCAAGAACAGAAACTGTTACTACAAAGTGAGTGCTCTTGCTCCCCTGTGAAGGGTGAAATGGAGAAGAAAATCTCACGTTACATGCTCGTATAACCAAAACGGGGAATTTTACCTACCTTCTGACTTGCGCCCTTCAGGGGAATCAGAACTGCCTTGCTTGAGAAAAGTAACCAGGTCATTGAAGGTTATGTAGAAATCAATGGCGTACACTATCGTGGCTATAAATCCAAACACCTAAAACGTCAAAATAATACTCTTTTAACAACAGTTCATGTCCATCAATGACAAACTAAAATAAGCCTAACCAACACAAGAAAAATTCTTAAACTGAGGCTTGACTTTTTTGGCCTGTGGCTTTCTAAAAGGACAGGGAAGGGAAATGTCTCGTGACCCACTGGCATCAACTAAATTACAGCTGATTAGTGAGCCTGATTAGCGATCGCTGCAAGTGCTCTATCAGATGCGTCCTTAGCCCTTCCCCAGGCTACATCGCTCTCTGGCTCTGGGCAAGTTCTGAGCATTAGCATTGCCCTGTGCCAGGCACTACAGGAGAATGTAATCTGCACCTCCACCATCCCGGGGTGTCTCTTTGCCACCAAGAAATCGCCTCGATTTCTCTGGAAATATTTTTTTACTGGTTTGCAAGGAGACATGTCTGTCGCAGAGCAAACTAGATTGAGAGAAAATGATTCTGGAGTTACCTATTTAGTGTCAAAGAAGCAGCAGTATGGCAAGAACAGGCTGGGTAAATGCTGTGTTGCTTTGCTCCATGTCTAAACCGAGTGACAAAGATTAAAAAGAGATCTTTGAAATTGTATATGACTTGGGATGGTTTGGTAAGATTGCTGGCTAACATTACTGGGTATTGTTCTTCCCTATGTTTTAAAATTATTATGCAAATTTTATTTATGTTGCATATATTATTGATGCTTAGAGTCAAGTTGCAGATGGAAAGGCTGTATCTTATTTCTGAACACAATCTGCTGACAACGAAGGCTCTCTCCTGGGCAGTCCCTATACTGGAGGGTAAAAGACACTGCTCTTGTTTCAACGCATCCAAGTAAAATTAAGCAGTAGAGGCAGGAGGTTGAAATTACTTAATTCAGACTGTCCTTAGTAGTCACAGGTTTGATTTCTTTTATTATTATTATTATTATTATTATTATTATTATTATTATTATTATTATTATTATTATTATTCCCTCCATTCAAGGATCTTGATGTTCCTTGCCAAAACAGAGAAGTTTTATCTTCCCTGTACAGTTGGTGAAATTAAAAAGCAGAATAGGTGCCTTCCCTAAGTGCTACAGTTAATGTTGAGCAGCACTGTTAGGATGAAGAAACTATTCATTGATTCAAAACCTGTTTCTCTAAATAACTGTTTCTTCCTTGCTTTTGGCAAATCTAATTCTCACTTAGTTAACTGAAGAAACTTGTACTACTTGCAATGAGGTCAAAACTGAATTGTTTCTGAAGTACATCCATAGGCAGTTTACAAAAATACCCAAGTGGAAAGCTCACGTCTACTTACTCCTGCTGCTTTGGATGCTCCATCATTATATTTTGAGACAGCAGCAATTGAAATGGCGAAGTAAATAATGGCAGCAGTGACGCACCGTAAGAAATCCTGTAAAATAAGGAATGTTGCGTTCTCAGATTAGTCATGTAATTCCAACATACAAACTCCTCTGAAAATTATTTCAGGAATGACCATTAAAAACCTTTGCTGTTGCGTCAGTGGGCTCGCCTGATGCTGGTGTGTGACTACGGCCTGGTATTTTGTAGCGGATGAATTATTCATCTGGGAAGTATTTTTAAATGCCAGATGACCGGAATCTTGGCATAAGCTTCTGCTCTTACAGATGTTGGTCTAAATTCTACTTTTAACATGCGTATGTCAGGCAGACCTTTCCTCAGGCTGAGAAGGGCTGTCTTTTTCTGCCGTTTAACTCGGAGCACAGCAAGGGCTCTAATGGAAGAATTGTTTGAATTGCCTTAAAAAGTCTCGTATTTAAGCAGAACTCCTGCAGTACCAGAGGCTCTGGAGGAGCGTAGCAGTTCCTGTGGGGAACAGTGTGCTTGTTTCTATACAGAAGTAGGCCTGTCTGTAGGAGCTCCTCATTTGGGAACTAAACTCTTTGAGTGTTTAAAACTATGATCTATACTTGGCACGTACACCTGTATCTCCAGCAGCTGGCCTGAAGGGAGCATACCCGTTGGTATCATGGGGATACGTGCCTCTGCGGCGGGGGCTGTAGCTCTGCAGGGCAGGGGCCGTGCCCTGGCCTACAAGCAGTGATGTGCTGGAGCAACAGCGTCTCCCACCTGTGCATTAAACAAACAGCCGTGCTTCCCGCGGCACCTGTAAATCATGCGAGCTGAATGGTGCCTTGACCTCTGTGCACAATGAGGGCTCCTGCCTTTTCCGAACAGCCGGACGAGCGAGATACTGTCTCAAAACACAAATCTTACCAGGAACTGGACTCTTCTGAAGTCAGGACAAGGTCAGTTATCGGCATTCTGCGGCTGCAGAATGTTACAGTAATGGACGTAATAAACATACGAGTGCTTTTTTGTCTTAGTTCTGGAATGAGATCCATGTAGAAAACGGTGGAGCCGAGATTCCCGGCTGCAAGCCGTGCACGCTGCCATGGTCACAGTCGCAGCTATCGTTTTTCCCACCGGCGGCCCTGCTCACGGCGTTTTTGTACGCCGAGAGCTCCAGTTGGAATCTCGCTGCCGGGAGGTGCTGCCGGGAGGTACCGCCGGGAGCGCTCGGACCGCCCGGGGGCCGCGCCCGCGGCGGCGCGCGCTTGGGGCGACAGAGCCC